CGTAGACCCCCTGGTATACTCACTCGAAAATCTAGAAAACACGCTGAAGTAAAAGAAAAAGAAAAAGAATCGCAATGGACGACACACGAACGGGATGTAATATTTATACACTACAGTCGCCACGTCGTGCTAATCTAGGCTAGTTCTAAACCTAGAATTTGCGCGACCGAGGGAAGTCTCGGTTACCGTATATTTATCCTTACATTGCACAGGGGTTCAAAGATAGTGTAATATCTGCATTTTTTCAGTTTTTATAGGCTCGGGTAAGTGTGAACATTGACCTAAAGTAAACTGTATTTTTTTTAAAACTTCCAATCTTTATATATAAAGTTGAAAAAGTTGCAAGGGGTCATGCAAAAAAGGTTGAAAACCACACCTGTACTATATCATTTCTTGGTATCTGACGGATTATAAAAAAAAAAGCAACATACTTTACAAGCTGAATGAATGTAGTCAATAAAACTCATAGATTTTTTAAAAAGTAAATATACAGATGGAAAAATACAAGTTGCGAGGAGGAACAAACGAAAAAAAACAAAAACAAACCGAAAAATAAGAAGATTGAGAAGTTTACGAAAAAAGAAAAGCAAGTAATATGAATTCTTATTTATATGGACGTATGTGTCGCTTCGTCTTGTGATCTTACTCCCTATGATATACAAGGATACATAATTCAGTGGCTGCACTTCACTCCATCCACGCAATCAATGGGCGACCTGACGTCACTGGAAAAATCCCACGTTTCCAGAATGTGAACTGAGCTGAATTGCCTACAAATCTTCTTGTATGTGTGTGTGTGTGTGTGTGTGTGTGTGTGTGTGTGTGTGTGTGTGTGTGAGAGAGAGAGAGAGAGAGAGAGAGAGAGAGAGAGAGAGAGAGAGAGAGAGAGAGAGAGAGAGAGAGAGAGAGAGAGAGAGAGAGAGTTTGTGTGTGAGAGAGAGAGAAAGAGAGAGAGAGAGAGAGAGAGAGAGAGAGAGAGAGAGAGAGAGAGAGAGAGAGAGAGAGAGAGAGAGAGAGAGAGAGAGAGAGAGAGAGAGAGTGTGTGTGTGTGTGTGTGTGTGTGTGTGTGTGTGTGTGTGTGTGTGTGTGTGAGGGAGGGAGGGAGAGAGAGAGAGAGAGAGAGAGAGAGAGAGAGAGAGAGAGAGAGAGAGAGAGAGAGAGAGAGAGAGAGAGAGAGAGAGAGAGAGAGAGAGAGAGAGAGAGAGAGAAAGCGAAAGGCAGAGAAAGAAAGATAAAGAGAGAGAGAGAGAGAGAGAGAGAGAGAGAGAGAGAGAGAGAGAGAGAGAGAGAGGGGGGGGGGAGTTGTGACGCAGTTATACATTACTCCGGGTCAATTGCTTTACCCAAAGGTTATATAAAGAAAATGAGATTTTCTTCACCTTAAACATCCCTTTTAATTCTGGCCAATTACGCATAAAACATACTGTTCAAATAAAAAATAAGAAACAGCTATTAGTACATACGATTTTGGTCACTATACATTGATTGCGCCGCGACCGGGTATACAGTGTGTGATCGGGCCTGTTCCAGCATATACCGGTTAGCTGTCACAGAGAGAAGGTGTTGGCGTGAGTTTAGGAAGATGGAAGTTTCTGAGATCGATGATCCTGAAAGTACTTCTTCGTCCATTTCAGAGGATATTGAAACACTGTCTCAAGCGCTTTCCGATTCTAACCTACAAAGCAAAACAGATTTAAACCCAGCAGAGACCATGACGACCATTGAAGAGTCTGTGGATCATGAACTAACTTCTTTGCAAGACGAAAACTATCCAGCAAGTAAAGATGAGAATGAAGGGCAGGAGGAAATTAATGACTTTCTTCCTCGAGAAGGGAACAACGATATCGATGAAGAATATTCAAATGCGCATCCTCAAGAAGTGACAGTTCCAGGGAATGAGGAGACTGAGTTGGAAGATTTAGAAAATGCTAATAATCCTCAGGGCGGAAATGAAGATTTTTTTGCAAGTACACCTCCACTGATGTACATGGAATCCAGTAACAGGTTCAAAAATCTAACGAACCTTGTGAACTCTTCAGAAAATGAAGAGGAGCTTGAAGCATTTGAAGACTTGACTATTCTCGGAAACGGTAGGAAAAAAAGTGGGGATGTACGAAGTGTTAGAAGTCTTCGGCAGGAGGAGGGAGTTAAATTCTCAAGGGCGCCTTCACAGGAAGACTTGGATATTCTCGGAAATGGTAGGAAGAAGAGTGGGGATGTACGAAGTATCAAAAGTTTACGGCAGGAGGAAGGAATTAAATTCTCAAGGACACCTTCACAGGAAGACTTGGCTATTCTCGGAAATGGTAGGCAGAAAAGTGGGGGTGTACGAAGTGTAAGAAGTCTTCGACAGGAGGAGGGAGTTAAATTCTCAAGGGCGCCTTCCGTGGCGTCTGTAAATCGAAGTGTTAAAAGTCTTTGGCAGGAGGAGGGAGTTAAATTCTCAAGGGCGCCTTCCGTGGCGTCTGTAAATCGAAATATGTCTCCCTTGAATATTGATGCTGATGAAGCAAAGGAAGTAAATAATGAGAGTCTTCTAGCAGATGAGGGAGATGTGGTTACAAGAACATCACCTTTATTGTCTATGTTACCTGCAGATAATGAAGTAACTCCCATAAATCTTGAAAGCATATCATATGCAAATGATGATAAAAATGAAGACCAAACTACATCCCCATTTAACTTTTATCAGAAAAAGAGATCTGAAATGGATTACTTCAATATGCAACCGATGAATGTGTCTGCTTTAGAAAGTGATCAGACCATGGAAGAAAGCAATCAAAATGAAAAAGAACCTTCTCAGGATGAAGAGGTAGAAGAGAACTCTGAACAGATACCAGAAGAAGAGGAAGTTAAATCTGCAGAAAAACAAGAAGAGGAGGCAGTTCAATCTGCAGAGGCACAAGTAGAAGACATAGAAGTTCAATCTGCAGAGGCACAGCATGAAGAGGAAGAACTTATATCTGCAGAGGAACCGTTCATGAAGACTGCAGGTGATGTAAGTAAAAGAATTCAGTCTGATAGAAACCTTCCTGAAGTGTACTTTACTGTAGGATTCAAGAACCAGTTTAGTGAAGTTGTGGAGAAGCCATTCACATCCTTCTACAGGGATCAACTTCCATATGTTAGTGAGGACAGTATTCATTATTTTAAGTACAAAGGAACTAAAGTCTGGGACAAAGTTGAAGGCTTTGATCATGTATTTTGCAGTGTTGGAACTGATGTGGAGATTGAGGAAAAAATAAATGAAATTGAAGAATATTTAGCAAAAAGAGCACTTTCCTTTACTCCCGATGATGAAGAAAATGAAGACGACAATTTTGTCCTTTTAGGAAGTGGCAGCTATAATACAGGGTTGGCAGACAGTTTTTCAGCCTCAAGTAAACCCAAAGCCACACACTTCCTGTGCATAAAAGTGAAGAACGACCAAGTGAAATCTATAGCTGCAAAGGTGAAAGAACATTTGCTAAACAAGGAGCCAGATCTTTATAAGTGTACATTGCCAAATGAACGTTTACATGTCACTCTTGCCAAGGTCCATTGCACTGCTCAAGATGCAATCATTGAAGTCAACAACATGCTTAGAGGTTT